TACAGCCTGGCTCTGCCATTTATTGACTGTGGGACCTCAAGTAAGTTTCTTCTTATCACTGTACCTTAGTTTCCTCTTCTGTAATAAGTAAAAAAAGCAACTACCTCATATATTAGTAAAGATTAAATGAAATAATATATAAAGAGCACTTAGAGCACCTGGCAAATAAGAGACATTTGACAAATGTTACTACTATATTTACTATTGATGTTACTTCTATTAGTAATATTGATTATAATTATACTATATTATAATAGTAATTTTTATTATTTATTTCTGCTTGACTTGAATGAGTTCTTTGTGTATTATAGATATTTATCTCCTGTGAGTTTTGGATATTACAAATATATTAAGTCTGTCACCTGCCTAGTAACTTTAGCTCAAGTGTTTTTTATTAAATAGAAATTCTTAATTTTGTAGTTAAATTCCCTTTGGGGGTAAAGGGATATATACTTTGGGTACTGTGAAGTCTTGTTTAAGAAAACTTTCCTTCCCCAATATCACAACAGTCATGTACATTTTATTATCATCTTTAATTTCAAAGTATTCCATGCTGATCCTAGGATTAGAGTTTCTGGACTTCTCTGAACTAAATGATCAAGCAGTCAGTCTCTCGGTCACTTACTCATCTCTCTAGTATATAAGATCACAGAGTGGATACAGAATACAGAAAAGATTGATGGACAGTTCACCACCTACTGGGGTGACTGGAGGGCTAGAGGATATTATATTCACTCTAAATGCAGTAAGAAGGTAGAATGAGTGAGAGCGTGGGGTGAACAAGGGGAGAAGGCTTTGTTGAGGATGTGGGACTTGAACTGTGCCTAGGGGGTGGGGTTGGAGGCCAACAAGAGAGGGAGGGGCACCCTAGGAGAGGGAAGTTGCAACTGGGCAAGAAAGGTGCAGAGGGGCAGGGGAGACCCTGAGGAGATGTTCCTGCTGGGAACAGCAGATGGATAATGGGGAAAGGGTGGAGGGCTCTGAAGGCCTAGCAGAGGCTCTAGGAGTTGATATAGCATGCACTGTTCACCATTAGTGTGTGTGTCTGAGAGAGAGAGACAAGGAGCAGAGTGCTGACATGTGGACAGCAGTGTTAGGCTCCTAAAATAGGTCAGGGAATGTGGCAAGCTAGGAAGATGGGAAGTCTGGAGACCAGGGAGACAATCAGAATCCAAGTTGTCTTCCTTGGCAGTGGGAAGGACCCCTACTAGATCAGGTAATAGAGACTAAAGTGTAAGGTTGCATGCTATTTTGAGGAAAAAACAATGGCAGGTGTTTGTGATCTGGAAAATGAAAACACAAAAGAAAGCTCTTAAGTCTTCAGGCCTAGGAAGAACGGGAAACCCCCCACCACCCACAACCCGTGGTGAGCTACAGTGGTATTTGGAAGGAAGTTTCTGAAGTGGAAGGTCTAAGTCTTATAAAATGCGGTCCCAGTGTCCAGTAACACACTTAGCAGGAGCTTGACAAATGTTTAATGAACAAATGAACATGTGGGCTTGGAAGTCATCACTGAACACTCCAAAGGAAACATTCCTTGGACAACTAGAACACAAACTGAAGGAAAGAGATTGATATTGGGCTCCCCACACCCCTGTCCCAGCACCCACAGGAAAGAGGAAGATGAATTAGTAATGGTGACAGAGAAGGAACCATCAAAGAGATAGGAAAACAAGGAAAATGAGTATTCTGGAATTCTAGGGAGAGTTTGAAGTCTGGTAGCATCGTGACATGCCACAGAAATCACTTGGTGGGTTTTTGGAGAGCAGAGCATAACAACACAAAGTTTAACATTTACTGATGGGAGGGCGTATAGGGTATCAGCCATGTGGAGAGTGCTTATGGACAAGGAACTCCTGTGTTAGACTGGTTTGATATGGCATCAGAATGCATCAAGCCCTGCCTACAGATACACCCTCTGCTGGGTGCTTCAGAGAGAGGGGAATACGCACAAAATTCTGACCCAACCTTAAAGAATCAGACAGCCTAAGTTTTTGACCTGAGATCAGAGGAGACTGGGAATAAATCAGATTTTAAAGAACAGAAAGTTTAGATATACTTTGAAAGTGCTTTAAGATACCCAGCTGGCCTTCACCTCAGTTGTATAGATTTGAGAGTTTTGTCTCAATTACCTTTGAAATGGAAAAAGTCGGTATGAGTTTTCATTAAGTGATCTTTAAAAAGCATAACCAATAAGTCACAAAGTATTTGGATGGACTATGAAGCTTATTCAAGCATAGTTTATTTGGCTTTTAGGAACATTTTATCAAACCCCTGCTTTATGCCTTGAAGAAAGCTACTGGTGAACTGCCAGGGTGGCCTCTGCTTGTTGCTGGAAGGGATCATCACGAAACAGGTCTGAGACGGGTGAGGCTCATGGGTGAGCAAAACCACACAGCTCTTGATTTTCTGAGTTTGCCAAAGAGTATTGGTCATTGCTTTCTCTGTGCAGCTGCCAAATGTCTGATTCCATTTATTCAAGTCCTAGGAAGAGGTCACACACTGGGAAGACAGTAGCTACACCAACACACAGAGGAACTGGGCTATCCGCTCATCTCCAAGGTCTGGCATATCATGTTTCTAAGGTTTTTATAGCTGGGTTCCAGGTGAAAACTAGAAGGCAGCTTTTAGTCGAGCTCCTCTGAAAAGAGTAGCTAGCAAGGCCAAACTCTTGGCCAGTCTGTTTCTAAGGCTTCAAGGTGTTTGCCCATGCAATTTGTGTGGAAGAAAGCACTGAACTTCAGTCATCTTTAAATTCACTGATTTCTCATAACTTTTACAGTTTCCCAAAGGCATTTTCTTTAATGGGTCATCTGAATGGGCCATGGGATCATGCTGGGATTTTTTCTGATAGCCCTATTTTATGCTTCTTTGTGTGATGAAAGAGGGCTCAGAGTACTGAACCTGAAGAATCTGAATCTACCTGGCAGCCCAAAACGTGATGGAAGTGATTTTTTCTGGTTGATTCAAAAGCTGCCCCCAACTTTGTCAAGAAGAGCAGGTGGTGAAAGAAGCGATGTCATAGCATGGTGCGGGACCTCTTCCTGTCCCAGGGTCCCTGGCTACCCTGAGCTAGTATTAAAAATTTAAATTGTCAGATGACTTTACTTTGAAATGATATACATCACACAGGTTTCAATGAGGGAGTATGTGTCATATTGTTAAGAATGCCAAGTAGGTATGTTTTTAATAAGAACTGCAGGCTTTCCTTATTTGACTCATAAGATTTCTCATATAAACTCAATGGCATGAAGGTCCAGATGCCATTGAGTTTATATGAGAAATCTTAAAACATGGAAAGGAGGCTCAGGTAGGGCCAACACCATTTGGGATACAATGAGCTACAAACTCCCAATATATGATCAAGTGATGTGCCTACAATTGGTTGGTGGTGAGAGTACTTGAATTAGGTGAGAAAGGGAGATGGAAAGAACCTCCACACTAGTAACCACAGGAAATCCTTGAAACTACTCACACATCCCTTAGAACATTCAGGAAAATGGAAAACAATGTCTGCTCCATATTCAAGGACATTTCTGGAGACTCCCGCTACCCCATTCCCATCTCCTCCATCTCCTTCATTTTCAGTACACTGGGAATTCTTGGATTTCAACAATTCCTGAAACAAATAATCTGATTACTTTTATTTAGCTTTAAATAAAGGCATTTAAGAAAACAGGACTGCTGGGCTCGGTGTCTCAGCCTGTAATCCCGTGCCTTTGGGAGGCTGAGGTGAGTGGATTACCTGAGCCCGCGGGTTCGAGACCCGCCTGGGCAGCGAGACCTCATCTCTACAGTAAATCAAAAAATTAGCCGGGCGTGGTAGTGCATGCCTGTAATTCCGGCTACTCAGAAGGCTGAGGAGGAAGGATCGCCGGAGCCCAGCAGGTGAGGCAGCGGTGGCCGGGAGCGGCCACTGCACTCCAGTCTGGGCGACAGAGTGAGACTCCAACTCAAAAAAAAAAAAAAAAGAGAAAACAGGACTAAGCAAATTAAAAGCATGTTCTTTTGGAATAAGTTGTTAAATTCATCTAGGAAGGTTCATCTAGGACACTTAGTGCTACACCTATCTGGGTCATGTTCTGAAAAACTGTACACTGAGAGCCAGTGTGGGCAGGAGTGTGAAATGATTTCAGAATAACTGCTCCTGGAGATGTGGCAAGTATCTTTGCAGACCATTAGGTGCATTTTATTATTAGAACTAATTTATAAGTCTTGCCTTTTAACATCCCGTGTATACTCTCAACATCAGGAATGGCTTCCTATTACAAATCTTCCATTGCCGCATTCCACTTGCTGAATTATCAGTCATGCTCCTGGGCAGTGGCATTTGATTTTCTTGCACTAGACAAGCATTCACGATGACCCAGCTTCCTCCTGTAAATTAGTCCCCGGAAAAATCTTGGTTCAATAATGGCTATTTTCCTATTAATACTTAAAACATCAAAGTCAGGAATCTACCAGGAGGATTCAAATCATGAATCAGAAATACACGTACCAAATTCTTGATCAGCCTATGATTATATTCACAGAAAAGAGTCAAAATGAAATGATATGTTTTTGTTTTGAGAGTTTTCTTCTGGAGATAATGACCTGGTGAATTGAATTTTCTATTCAATCTGATCTAATTTTTTTTTTATGTACCTACGAACATAAACATGCCAGAAAGAAAAGTGACCAAAAAAAATGAGGCTGGTGTGAGAAGGAATTGCTGATTATGAAGATCGTCAGTGATTCACGGACTGGGAGTCCACAGCGGGTACTTTTAAGGGCTCTCCATCCACAGCTGTTATTTGTGCTGCAGTAATTGCTGGATGTCAGGAAAGACCGAGTGACCAGCAATGACTGGAATGAAGGAGGTGAGAAGTGAGGCGGAGCTGTGGAGCACAGCCCAGTGGAAGAACAAGCATATTTCTGCACAAATAACAACTCCATTATAGACGGTTTCAAGTAGAGCATCCAACTGGAACAAGATTAAAAAAAAAAAGACTCATAAAAAAGAATGAGGTAATTGTTGGAGATTACCAAAGGTTTATTTGGAATGACACAGCACTGAAAACATAACTGTTACAGATGATTTGTGGATACAGCATACATCACCTATCTTATTTTAGGATGATCTGTGAGGATGAGTTGCATAAATATAAAGAGGTGGAAATATATAGGAGCCATTTTTATAGTGTTCTTTTGGGAGTGGATGAATATGCCTCATCTTCAAGCCAATCTCATAAAGGCAGAAGTGAAGACTACTTTGCTGTTCATCCCAGCTAGCCTATGTCCAGCCACAGTGGCTGGACAGCGAGAGAGAGACTCAGGCCCTGCTGTCTCCACAGGGGCCACAGCATGGATGTGCGACCTGTCATCTCATCCTGAAAACTGCACAGTACAAACACAGATACTGTCGGACTGTTTTGGCAATGGGATGGCTGGTTTTGCCCTGAGGCAAAACTGCAACTGTAATGCCAGACAGAATAAGAGCAATGCATGTATCAATGACACTTGAGAGGCAAAGAGCTACAATGGAAAGGAAAGAAAGCAACTATGCATATGTAGTCTTCTGCATACACATAGATCCGGCAGTCATGGCAACTAGCTTGTGTGACCGTGTGTCCATATATATATATATGTATATATAGATGTGTTGGAAAAGAACATCGAGAACTTCTGCAGCAGTTTAGTCTTAAACACATTAAAATTGAAAGGAGAGAGAGCACGTGCTCACACCTTGGCAGGGGAATAAGATGATCTTGGACTACAGGATAATTCATCACATCTTCTGCAGGGCAGCCACTCAATACCATACACCTGGTACAGAGAAATTAAGGTCTTGTCTGGAAAAAGCTATTTTAGAATTGGTGGGAGGGGATCAAGTACAAGAGTCTCCACAGCTTGGACAAAGCACACACAAACCTGTTATTGACAACATGGGAACGAGTGAGGACTTTTTCCTTAATTTACTTTTTTGTTTTTTCTTCATACATCATTTGCATACATGCTCCATTGATACATCTTCCCAAGCTTTGTCTGGCATCAGTCTGTAACTCATTAAGAGTATAATAGCAAGAGTGGAATCTTCAGGTTTTCATGAAGGGTTAAAAATCCAGTAACGGAGCTCTTTCTTGCAACACTTGTCGTCTTAATCCAGGCGCCGGGTGAAGTTCTCTGGAAAGAGGCCTTTATAGGTGGCAAGGTCACTGAACTGAAGCCAGTCTGATTCCTTCACTCCCACAAGCCAGCCTGCATCCTGCAAGACAACGACAGGGCTTTCAGGGCCCACCAAACTTTGAAAAACCCACCCTGCAGCAATTAATAAATAATGGGTTACATTAAGGTTGTGGTTCTGCACATGGATGTTATGTTACAGGTAGAGTTATGTGCTGTGATGCGTGAGAAGGCCTTCCCAAATAAATTGTACTTAAAAAAAATGAAAGGATAAACATTTGCAATAATTTATTTACTGTATAAAGTATAGTTAGCATAAGATTAATATTACAATTTTGTATAAAGCATAATTAATTGATGTTAACTGTATGATAATATGAGTTCTGACGGAGGAGAAAAGGATTAGAATTACAGCAAGTTCAGAGAGAAATTTCATGCACAAGAACAATCACCTGTCCTGGGGGTCACAGTGAAAAAGGCTTGCAGTTGCTTGGGTTAGAATATAGTGCTGACTAGGCTATGGAAGGTCTTGTAGTTCACCCTGAGTCACTTATAAGAAAGAACTCTGACCCTAAGCTCACATCCTATAACCCCAATAAGCCACCCTATATAGGACTTATCAAATACTAAAAGCTAGACAAGTGTTGCCTGATGTTACTGTTGTTATAATGCCTAATTTTTCAAGTTTATATAAAGCACAAAGCAGTCTGATGTCATGGCATTCTTGCTAGAGACATTCATATATTCTTTATGAATTATTTCTCATAAACGTGAGTCTGTCATGCAGGAATGCCATTATAAAAATAAAGACATTTAACCACAGAAAGGATAAAGAGCCCATCCATGTGTGGCCAAATGGAATGAAGATGAAACTTAGAACCAAGAAACGGGTTGCTGTCTGCCCTTGGCCTACTGAAGATAGGCAGAGTGTAGCTGGAAAAAGCTGAGTTGGAAAAAATATCAGGAAACATACAAACTGTAGGAGGTGAAAGTAGTGGAAATCGCTATCTTTATTATGTTAACCAGTACAGAAAAGAGATTCCACTTAAGAGGAGGAATGGCCAGATTTAATCTGAACTAACCCCCAACATAGTTCAAGTACATCAGATAAAATGAGGTTTCAAAAATTAAATAAAGAAGCTGATTCATTCCCTTTTGATATAATCTGAGACTGTAAATTGATACTGCCATATAGACAAGAAATATAAGCATTTAGACAGACCAATTTTTGAAGGCAGAAAATAAAACCACTACCAAAAAAAATGACTCAATAAAATAACTGATAATATCCTAGCTGATGAGGAAAAGTGCCCTCTTTGAAATTATAATGTCATATATGTGAAGGACAATGTTATACTTAAAGTAAAAGATGATAACTAAATATTTTATAAACCTCCAGGAAGCATACAAAAGGTCATTTTTCCTACATAAGTGTCTACATTTGAGTTTATTTACAGTGAGTGAAAAATCTAATGGAGCTAAATGGAGTCAAACATTTTAAAATTATTTCAATAAAGGCAAAAAGCAAAGGACTGCACAAACCCATAATCAAGATGTATTCCAACATATATTCTGAAAGACACCTTATATCATAGAGTGAAAACTATTAGTCAATATCAGTTTTTAGCTGAAGAAAATATCGAAAATTAAATTTTAACTGTTTAAAATATGTGGAAGGCAAGAATTTCCAGTTGTGATAATGGCAAAAGAGCCTGTATTTGACAAATGCTTCTTCACAGAGTAATTATAAACAGTGGAATAATTATATATCTTTCCATATGTATACATATGTATATGAAATATATAGAAATAACTATTGGTTATACAACATATAATGCAAAATACAAGTTTATATATAATGTGGTAGGTGTAAATAACGGGTACAACTATTTAGAAGCGCTGAGAATGGCCAAAAGCAGGCAGAAATCGAAGAATATTTCATCTTGAAAGTGGGAAATTGCACTGGATGAGATCTATGCTAATACGGCTTTTCCCTCAAGGATTATCCTCCGTCCACATGATGCAAAACATTCAGAGGACAGAGTTTCAGGCTGTCAGAGAAGCTGTACATTTACAGGGGGATATATTGAAAAGAAAGGAGCCACTGAGGGGATATCCCCAAACATGCAGAAAAAACACCCTGAATTCCTGGGCTGACCCACAAGCCGTGCAGACATAAGGGGCACAGACCCATCCTAATGAAGTATAAAACCAACTTCTATGAATTCAAGGTATAATAATTATCCAGTAATTTAAATGCATGCTAAAATAAAAATAAACAATCTTCAGATATAGAAAACAGAATTAGGACCCTCTACAATGTGTTATCCACCCACTGCAATGTATTATCTACCCACTGTGACCACTATCAATAAAAAATTACTAGACATGTAAAGAAACAAGAAAACATAACACAAAGATAAAAAGTAATCAACAGAAATATGTCCTGAGATTGCCCAGCTTTTGGAATTAGCAGTAAGATATTTAAAGCAGTTATTATAAATTTGTTCAAGTACTTAAACTTAAAGGCAGCAACAATGAAAGAATACACATGGGAAATCTCAAGAAAAAAATAAAACCTAAACAAAAGAACAACATGTAATGAAAGAATGTAAGTATTAAGATCTGAAATGAAAAGCTGGATAAGCTTAACAACAAATTCAAAGCAGCAAAAGAAAGAGTCATGGTACTTAAATACAGATCAATAGAAATTAACCAACCTGATGACCAGAGAGAAATAAATACTGATAAAAAGAAGAACAGAGTCTTAGACATCAAGAAGTCCAACACATCTATAACTAAACACGCAGAAAAAAAGAAAGAGAATGAGGCAGAAAAAAAATTAAAGAAATAATAGCTGAAAGTTTTCTCAGCATGATGAAAAACATCAGGTGATAAGTTTAAGAAACTCAGTTAACCGCAAGTATGAAGGTTACAAAACAAATTTTAAAACATCAAGTACATTATAGTCAAAATGACAAAAACAAAATACACAGAGAAATTATTAAAAGGAGTCAGGGAAAGATACTTCGCATACAGAGAAACAATTTTAAACAAATTTGACAGCTGATTTCTAATTATAAACAGTTACAGATCAGAAAACAATGAAACAGCATCTTCAAGAGTTGAAAGAAAAAAAAATCAACTCAGAATTCCTTCTCTAATGAAAATATCTTTAGAAATGAAGATGAATAAAGACATTTTCGGATAAACACAGTCTGAGAGGGCTTGCTGCCAGGAACAGCTAGAGGAAGTTTTTTAAGCAGAAAGGAAATGAAAGCAAATGGAAACTCAGATTTATAGGAAAGAACGAAGAACACTGAAAATGACCAACATGCTGGTAAATATAAAACATTAGTTTTTTTCATTTTATTTATTTTAAAATAACATAGTTAATGCACAAAATAAATTTACACAATAAAACTTGTCTTTGAGCTGTATGGAGATGTTGACACTTTTGCCTGATATTGGTCATTTATGCTTTGTCATATGTTTTCCTTGAAGAGTTTTTCTAAGGTTTTAACAACTGTATTAATCCTCTCAAAGAAACCAACTTTTGGCTTTGCTAATTTTCTTTATTGTATCTTTTCGTTACATTCATTTGTGAATTTATTTTTATTCTTTCCCTCCTTCTCTGCAATTTTCTATTTAATTTGACATCTTTTGATACTCTTAGGCTTAAAACTTAGAATCAGTGATGACTATGACTTTTTTATTCACTTACACTATGATTTCTTTGATCCATTAATTATTTATAAGTGTATTCTTACATGTTTAAATCTCTGGGGCTTTTAAAGATACATTATTGTTGTTAATTTCGAATCTATTTTTATTGTGGTAGAGACTGTTTTATTGTTTGACTCAAGCACCTGATCAACCTTGGTAAGTGTATTACCAAAATAAAAACAAAATGTTGAACAGGTAAGTCTTAACCTCAAAAGCAGTGATGTTTAATTTTATCTTTTAGGAGGATGGCTCATAAATCTCTTTGAGAATAGTATGGAAGTTAGAAAAACATATTCATGGACACATTTACACATTTTGCATACCATTTTAGGAGTTCACAAGTCCTATGAACAAGAACAAGATAAGAGTTTTTAGCACCTTGACATCAGCTCATTCTTCTAGAAGATGATTTCTTTTTAAAAAGAATCTCTTTAAATTGAGGTATAATGTAAATTCTGTGTAATGCAGAGATAGCTAGGCATATAGTTCAATGAGTTTTGACAAATACATACACACATGTAACGACACTTCTCTCAAGATATAAACCATTTCCATTGCCCCAGGGAGTTCCTTCATGTTCTTTCCTAATTAACGTCCACACTCCAGAGCAACCAGTTTCGAAGGGGATTTTTAGTTCTCATGCATAGTGTATTTTCCGAAAACAGGTGTTACGCTAGAAAGTGGTTATGTGATAAGAAATGGTCATCTGCATTAAAAAAAGAAACAATGTAACAGCATCCCAAAAGGGTATCCTAAAAAATAGGTTAATGATGCTCTGTGGTCACAAGCCCTTAAACCCTTTTTAGTTGGCTTGCAGCATCTTAGAAAATAGAAATGTCTTCAGGAAATCACTGTGTCCAATTGACCCTTCACATAGCCTGAGGCATCTTCCAATCTTATCATTACCTGGTCAGCTTCCGAATCAGAGGGGATCACCAGCACCACATCACCCCTTTGTAAGGTAAGTTCGTCAGAATTTGCTGCTTCAAAATCATGCAATGTTTCCACCTGCAAAAGGTTTTAAGAGACCAGATTAATTTTAGAAAATAAGGAGACATAAAATCATCGTTTCCCAGCCATATTTTATAAGCAGGCACTCTTAAAAGCATTTTCCAAGCTGGATAAAAAAGTAAAGATATGTTCATATCCCACGGAAGGCCTCTAAAGACAGCAAGGAAATCCTGTTCGCTGATATGAGGCCATTTGCGTGTGTATTTAGTAATGGAATGCCCTCTGCAATACCTAAAAGTACTATGTTGGTTAAATCTTAATTGATCATATTTTTTGTTAGAGATTTGTATTTTATTATCACTCATACTTTATTACTGTTTGTTTGTTGTTTAACTTGAACCAAAAATGCCTAGTTGGAGGTTCCTCTAACCTCAGGAATTATATTATTATTAATAATTCTGTCAAATAATCAAAAATCAGGAAAACCATCTTTTGCATGTCATACAGGAATCACTATTTCATTAAACCCTGTGATCAATTTCTTTGTAAATAAATTTCCTTCCTTTCCTATCCTACCCTATCTACCATGGCAACCTGTCTATTTTCTTTCCTCCTTAAAAAAAATTCTGTAAAGTTTTATCATAGAATTTTTTTCTTTTGAGCAGAAGAAGCAAAATAACGAACCTCCATCCCCGTATTCACGTACCCAGCTTGAATAACTATGTGGTCACGGGCAGTTTTATTTTTCCCAGGTCCTTCCACTCAATTCCACCCCTGAGATTAAGCAATCTGCTTTTAAAATATATATTTGGCTGGGCTCAGTGGCTCAGCCCGTAATCCCAGCACTTTGGGAGTCCAGGGTGGGTGGATTGTCTGAGTCCATGGGTTCGAGACCAGCCTGGGCAACTTGGCAAGACCTAGTCTCTACAACACATTAAAAAAAAATTTTAGCCAGGTGTGGTAGTGTGCACCTGTAGTTCCAGCGATGTGGGAGGCTGAGGTGGAAGGATCACCAGAGACCAGCAGATTAATGCTGGGGTGGCCGTGAGTGTGCCACTACACTCCAACCAGATTCATAAAATGTCAGAGCTAGAATGATTGTTATTCCAAAATTAACTTCTCTAATGAGATAACTGATACCTAGAGAGGGCGATAAGTGAGGTGCCTTGGGTCACACTCCAGTTAGTGGGGAGGCTTGTTAGTGGACCCAACAAGCCCTGGTCTTGCCCAGCACATTGCTTCCTGGACTTCTCGTACAGTAATTAAAACAGAATGTGGCAGGGCACAACCCCCTACCCACAGGTTTAATTTTTCTCTACATTAATTCATTCATCTATCCATTATACCCACTCCCATCCCCACATGAGGTAGTGAGGTAGTAGTTAATGAACAGAGAGAAAATGACTGTCACTATTCAATCCTGTCCCCATGAACACACACAGACTTAACACTTTCTTAAAAGAAAAGGAGCTGAATTTTGAAATGTAAAGTGAAATTACAGAACTCAAAATTCCCAAGTAGATTCTGTTAAGGAGCATTATCCGCCTTTAATACTTGGCTTAAAGCCAATGTTTTCTAGGTAATTACTGAGTGTTCTGGTAAGAACCCTTCTGTTTATGAAAGCCCTATGTAGCCTCTCTGAGCAAAATAATTAAACCAGGCTTCTTTCTTCCTTTTGATAGAATCTCTTTCATATATTCATTCTCTTGTTTTTAGTATATTTATGGGCTCCCTATTCTGTGCCAAGTACCCACCATATTAAGTGCCAGAGTTGACAGGATGACATATTTCTTACCCCCAGAGGAATATGACCCAGGCACCTAGTAAACAGGTGATTTCAAGGCCTGGTCTGAGCCAGACTGGACAGACTCACAGGGCACCCTGGGGAGCACAGAGAGATGGAAGAAATTAACCCATTCATTACCCAGGCACATACCCTGTGGCGAACATCGCTTTAATTATCCTTGGTTAAAATAGAGGAAGATATTACTGTATTCTTGCCTGTTCATCAGCATAGAAATTCTGTCATTTTTCAAAGTAATACTGGAGTGAGGGGAGAGCAGTTCAGAGAAAACAACATATATTTTTAAAAGTAAAATTTGGAAAACCAAAGATTTGAGCAAGAGGGACTCAGTGCAAAGAAAACACAAATGGCCATGAGATCGAAAATATAAAAAGACCTTGTAGAGAAAGCCAGGAGGCAATTCCTGAGTGGCCGCCCTCGCAGATGCTGACTGGTCAGCAGGCCCTGTGGCTGGCGTGGAAGGCGCGAGCTGAGTGTCCTCCAGGGGCTTCTGCTCTGCTGCCGGCTCTGGTGTCTCGCTGGTGGGGCCCTGAGGGGCTGCATCCTGGGTAACCTCTTTGGACTCTGCACCCATGGTTATTTCGTGTTCTCCTTCTCCTTCGTGGTTAGAGGCAGGCTCTATGACCACAGATGGGATGACCTTCTCCTGGAGGGAGAAAAGTGTGGTGGTGCCCAGCAGGGCCTGGGAAACTGGGAAACGGGACTTCCTTTGTCCCCTATGACCTGCCTCAGCCCCCTGCTCACAGTCCGGGCTCTTACTTCTGTCCTTCCCCTTCTCCAAGCTGCCTGCTTCCCCAAACCTAGCTTGGGCTTTCAGCCTTTTTCCTTCTGCTGTGCCACCTGACCTCTCTGCCTCTCCTGAAGACTAAACTATGATGGGATTAATTTCTGGATCCTCGAACGGTTTGGTAACTGTGAGGTCTCTGCGGACACTGGAAAGAGGGATAGGAGACTGAGGGAGAGAAACACCCTGAAAAAAATGTAGCAGATTCCAGAACGGCCGTCTCACTGCTGTCCCACTGAATACTAACACTTGAAGTTGACATTTAGTTCCCCCAGAATCCCATGGGAGCCTCAAACAGCCTGAAACCATACATGCTGGCAGCGATCTAGATGAGTTTGGAGATGATTTACCTGTCCCTGGCTTGTTGATTATCGTTCGAGCCCACACTGCCGTCACTGCTCCCACCGCCCACCCCAAGTACTCTACTGTCTGAACCCGTGGATCAGGACCTCCTTTTATTTAACAAAAATAAGCAAGGAGGGGGTTTTCAGGAGCATAGCGGGAGTATGGAGATGTTTACTGCCTTTGAGAAGGTCTTTCTATAGTCCCCTGGGGCTATTAGTGGGCAGAAACACTTCCATTCTTCAATATGGGAAAAATAATACACTCATTCAACAAGTATAAAAATATATACAAAAACCTTCCCGGCACGGTGATTAGAAAATCTAAGAGGAAAAAATGGAATATTCTTTTGAGTTACTTCTCCAAATACCACTGCTATCTGCTGTTTTTTTCCGTGGGATGAAAGAGATGATTCGGTTTCAAGCCTTAATGAGTAACCTTGGAGAGATTTCTGGAAATGTATTATGAGTAAAATCATCAGGAAAAAAGAAAGCATGGCATTGAATCCCCTCTTAATGTTGTTTTCTAGAATGCAGAATAACCTAACAGTGGCGGGCAGGCCCTGGGTGGCGGGACCCACAGTTTCAGAGTGTTAATGTGTTGCCCTTGAATGCTGCTTGGAGGCCATGCAGAGCTGGGGTCAGCTCCAGGCCTCTGTAGGCACTGAATGGCCCAATCCCCTGCTGAACGTGCAACACAGAATTGGATTCGGTGTCCTTGGTGAAAGGAGCTTCAGGGTGCCCTTGGGGCACTCAAACAACGACAACCACCATACAACAGTAATCATTAGTAATAAGATTGAGCTCCTAATGTGGAGTTCTCACCTTGTGCCTAAGAACTTTATGGGCATTTTCTCCTTAATCATATTCTCTTTCTCCTCCCTTCATTCTCATCCTTTTCATCGTCACTGCCTCATTCCTTTCCACCATCACTTTCTCCCATAGTTTCCTTCTCCCCTCTCTGGCTTAGGCCCAGTGAGCCATAAGCCCAAGGGTGCCTGTGTGGAACACGGCATTGCTGATACTGAAAGAAGCTGGGACCACTCTTTCTGAGACTCCAATAATAATTGTGTGTGTGTGTGGAGCAGGGAGTCTCAAAATTGCTGCAGACTGATTCTACATCCGAGGTGTTATCACCATGAACCAACAGATAGAGCACTCTAACCCCCTCCCCATGTTTGTTTCCTTCACTGGGACTCTTACCTGAGGCGCTGCTGCTTCTCTCTCCTCGGGTTGTGATCTGTCACTCTCAACACCTTGCGTGGTCTCAGCTTCAATTCTGGCCTCCTCTAAACTTACTCCTTCCTCAGCAGGGAGAGCTGCCTTCTCTGCCTCTTCCACCGGGGCTACCTCAACCACCACACTAGCATCAGCTCCAGGGATGACCTGTGGGACAGTAATCAACAAGCCACATCTGTATCTCTGAGGGCCTCATCCAAGAGTCAAAATCAACCCTTTCCCTTCTTGGCCGAGTGTGGTGTTCACATCTGTAATCCCAACACTTTGGGAGGTCGAGGCAGGAGGACTATGTGAGTCCAAAAGTTTGAGACCAGCTTAGGCAACACAGCAAGTCCTCGTCTTTAAAACAACAACATTAGCCAGGCATGGTGGTGTGTGCCTGTAGTATCAGCTACTTAAGATGCTAAGGCAGAAGAATTGCCCGAGTTCAAGAGCTTAAGGATGTGGTGAACCATGACTGTGATTGTGTCACTGCACTCCAGCTGAGGCAACAGACTGAGATCTTGACTCAAAACAAACAACAAAAACATTTCCTTCTCTTCCTTCTGCTGAGCCTGTTCAGATTTTGAACTGTCTTTGTTATGTACCAAATCCCAAGATTCAGGTAAGGTGGAGTCTGCATCTGTTCATCAAACCTCTGACTTCTTTTCTCCTGAGCACCCACCAAGTTTACATTTCTCAGCTTTCCTTGCAGTCAGGTATAGGAAATGGCATTTAAATGGAAGGGACATATGCTATCCTAAGATGTGGTTTTGAGTACAGGTAGTCCCCTCTGCAAGCCATTTTTGTTGGCTGAAAGCAACAAGCAAGACCTTGGGGGGCATCTGAGTCACAAGTCAGAAGGAGGCTGGGTCCAATACCTGGGTCAAGCTGCAGAAGAAAGGCAACCTCATCACACAAAGTCAGAATCAGAAAAACTGCATCTTAGTATATACTTTCAAATCTTTATAGGGAAGGTTCCAGAAGCTAAGTCGCTTTCATGGGGAAAAAAAATTAAGAGGATTTCAGAATGAAGGGAAAAATAATTTTGTAATCAAATATGCATTACAGCACTCCAACAATCTGTAGAGTCTGCTGGCTGGCAGAATGCCCAAATCATTGTTTGGGTCCTTACTGGGAAAAGTGAAATAGAAAAACATGACAATTTTGTTTTTAGGGTTAGAACACAGTCAAAAGAAAAGTTTTAAGTAGCATTTAAAACTTGTAATAATGAAATGAAGTGCAATCTGAAGTTGTAGCTTTGAACAAACTGGTTTGGAGTCCAATTCTTTTAACAGGATACTAACAACATCAGCTTGGCAGACATGATTTGAGAGGTTCAGATTAGAAAGACTTGGGAAGAAAAAATTAGATTGTTCTTATATAAAATCCCAGGACACATATTTCAAAAACTGATCTTGCCACCTGATGTGGTCAACATTGGTCATTTCTTTTCTTTAACTGTGCAAGGTCTACCCAGTTCAACCTCTTAAGTTAGGAAAGCCTGCATGTTGCAAATACTAACTTTCAAACTCAGAAAACTGAAAAGGAAAATGGAGAGTGTCCCTGAGTGGGCATCAGAAATTGGAGATGAAGAACTTGAGTCACATGCCTACACTCATAGTATGGCAGTCTAAAAACACCTTTCTGTTGACTCAAGTGTATAGGTAATAATTTAAACAAAAATAATCTGTTATAGAATACAGTACATTTTTCTACAACATAATATTTTACTTTGGGAATTAAAAAAAGTTAACAGCTATACTACTTGCAATTTGTCCAAGTATTACTCATATTCTTAGAAATTTGTTTCTTTCTCTTACAAAAATCTTCCATTATGAGACTCTGGCTCTCCACAGAAAATTATAATCACTAGTCATGACATATTTCTTTTACTGTACTCTGTCATTAAAGTGCATGGGTTCAGAAAAGGAATTCTTTTACATGAATTTGTTATAGATACTTATTATTTTAAAAAATTTCTATAGCTTTGGGGGAAGAATTGTTTCTTGGTTACATGCATGAACTGTATGTGAAAAATCAGCATGAATTGTGCTGATTTTTAGGGTACTTGTCACCCAACTAGTGTACATTGTATCCAATGGGTAATGTTTCCTTCCTCACCCCACACCCTCCCCCGTTCTGAGACCTCAATGACTTTTATAATATTCTGTATGCCTTTGCATGCCCATAGCTTAGCTCCCACTTATAAGTGACAGCATGTAGGATTTGGTTTTCTGGAATTGTAAGAGATACTTATTTAAAGTGAATAATAAATGTTGATCATTATTGAAATGGGGTAAGAGTTACATGGAATTTCTATTTTGGTAAATGACTGAAAAGTTCCATAATAAAAAGTTTATTAAAAATTCAACAGAATTGCATCTGTTTTAAATACTGATCTTTTCATGAATGCCATTGTTATGGCTGTCAAGAGAGTAAACATCAGAAAGTAAATTCAATGGGCATCTTAAACCCAAGAAGAAAAGTGAATAATCACTCATAGCTTTGCTGTTGGAGAAATTAACAGTTTTTTTCCCCAGGCTATTAAGGACCTAGTAAAATTGCTTCCATATTGAAAAGTACACTGAAAGATAATGTCCATACCAAACGCTTATAAGCTTAAAAGTGGAAGGCAAGTTTTGTCATAATTCTAAGTTATTCATGCTTTCCATCTGTCTGGAAAATCACACCTATGAATATCCCACTGGTTTCAACAACTCTGAACCAGATGGACTCTATCTACATGCAGACAGTATGGATAAACAGAGCAGCACCCTCCACTACACACACAGACACACATATCGCAGCAGACAAAAAAGCAGACATTATGTTATTTCACCAGATGCATAAATCCATTACGTTATTTCAAGTGATTATGCATAAATCCTTCTACACATATATGTTCCAAGTACATACTGTTATAGTTGGATGTTTTTTTCTCAACTGAATTGATATTACATCTCCAGAAGAGGATAGATTTCTGTGACATTGGTGTTGCCAAAGGTAATTTTAAAAATTTGTTCCATACAAACATAGTGTGCATTATTAGCCCTTAATTTATCTCTAGCCTTCTATATATCTATCAACTTTGCTGTATCATATTTTACTATCGCAAGAGAGACATGCCATCCCTTTCTTTTGGTAAATAATTTAAACAGGCGTTATTGGCTGGACACACATTAGACCCGACAGTATCGCTGCTGTGACACCAACCACCAGCAGGTGGCGGTCAAGGGCTCCGTGTGACTGTGCTGTGGCGTTCCCGACCTTGCAGGAGCAAATACCCCTGCCCAGCCTCAGCACCTAGACAATTTACCTGAAAAGGATGGGAGCGTACAGAAAATCGTAAGAAGGATAAATTAGAAACACAAAAATATTGAAAATAACAATGCTGGCAGAGGTGTGGTGCTAAGAAAACTGATACTTTAGCTATAGAGAAGAAAAGCCAAACAATTTGAATTATCTACTAGGAAAAGGGGAAAAAATTAACACGTCAGTCTTTTCTGAGTGCATTAGTAATGAATTCTCATGTCTCTAGCCACTATTTAACACTTACAGAACTTAAAAACAGTTCATAAACACAGAGGGATCATCCACTATCTGCATTTCTCCTCATAGCTTTTTGTTTCTAACATTGGTCTGAAAATCAGGGGTGTCTCTCAGTTCTACCTTTATGTTCCACACTTTTTGTTCTTACCAAAATATTTCCAATGCCTATTTACTGACAGCAATAACATAATAACATAAAAATACAATAAAAAATAGAAAACTATTTGTTCAGATTCGATTTGTCTAGCTCCAGATAAAATCAAGGAAAGAGTGAAAAGGTTTTCATTGATAAGCATTATCTCTCATTATTATTATTATTATTATTATTATTATTATTATACATTCAAATTTGTTAGCTATTTGTAGATCTAGAAATTTTTTTAAAAAAACACATTTTCTATGATCTGCTTGCTGCAGTAGATGTTATACCTGCTAGAAAAAAACCACAAAAATAAATGACTGCTATTTGCTTTTTTTAAAATGTTATCAAGAAGATCAGAAGACTGAAACTACTAAAAGTATTTTAAGCCTTTGATACCCAGTTCTATCAAATTTTTTACTTCAGATATTTAGAAAACCACTATTATCCTATCGTCTGTACAATCTGTTGGTCAAATATACTTATGGTAGAAATATCCAGTGCAAAGAGACACTAAAAAAATTCTCCCTGACTTGGGCACATGTTTCCAACATCTATGGCATGAGTGAGACACAGGCACCAGGACTATTGCCAACTTGCTTATTCATCAACAGAAACCACAGGCACCAGAAATCACATGGAACCTTCTTGGAGAGAGTGCATGGTGACTCTCACTTTACTATTCCATATATACCTCACTGTTTCCTTATCTTCTGCTTCAACATTCTCCTTGGTGGAAAGCAATATGATTATGGTATTCCTGTCAGGGTCCACCAGTTTAAAACTGCACTAGCAAAATTTTCTCAAAATGAAATGACGCAAGTGCAATGCAACAACAGCCTAGATTATCAATCCTGCAAAACAGGGAAACACAAATTGGTGGCAGGAACTAGCCAGTCCCTCTAAGGGACAGTGCCATGAAAGTAGGTCAACAAGGACTGAGAGTCCTGAAACCACAAGAGAATTTGTCATCTCTGAGGTCTATGTTATTTATTTACTTTATTCACTGCTTGTAATTTTGGTAATATTAGTTCTGAACAATGCCTGAAAAGCAGTTGCCAATCACGCAACTGGTCTGGATGAGACAACTTTGATTCTCTTTCTGCCCAGGATGAAATTCTCTACTTATTTATAGGGTAGGTTACTTTAACCAAGAATAGGTATTTTTCTAATAAAAAATACCACAAATTTAAAAGCAACAAAATAATTGGTGGTAACATTTTGACATATTTAGTTTTATTCATTTTCTAATCATACAAAAGATTTATTTTACAGAACATAAATCATGTTTCTAAGAAAATTATATTTTTAACAAATTATGTAATAGTTATATCATTGAACATTAGTTGGATTCCAGTGTTTAAATGTTATTTATAAGTAACACCGTGAGAAAGTTCTTTGGTTTGTAACCAAACAATTATTTAGACTAGACATTTATATGATTTAAATACTAAACACTGTTCTCTTTTCATTTATG